GGAGAGAACATTGAGCTATCTAGTGAAGTAATGTAGAGATGTGGTGGTTTTGGCTATAGCATGGTCTTAGCAAAACTTTACTGGGAACTTCAACAGCATTAATGCAGAATGATTATTTATTAATTTATTTACTTCCACCCTGCCCACCCAAGGCTATTGTATTGAACTAATGTTGAAATCCAGAGGCTATAAGATTGTTTATAACTTCACCACATACTGAAATCCCTTCCTTCTCATCCTCGTTTCCTAGCTTAAGTTCTCACACACAAAGCTAACAATCACACACACATTGCTAGAGTGTGTGATTAGCAGTGTTCCACGTGGCACTGAGGTTATGTTGAATGCTGTACTTACTTTCTGTGCTTTTTGGGCTTTGTCTGAGAGCATCAAGACATAATGTCATTATATCTAATAGTTTTATAACTTCACCTGTTATTTTTTAATCTTGTTTTTGTACTAGTACTAATGTAGGAACATCTCATGTTGTGGCAGGTGCTGGAAGTGCAATAGAATCACTGCTCTTTTTTGTTTTTCTATGAGATAATCCTTTTTTACCGCTGAATTATGTTCAGTAATGAATTGTAATTGTGAATTACTCAGCTTGTAGAAGAAATATTGGTAAAATATAAGATGAGGTTTTAAAGATGCACCAGGATAAAAATACGGAGGCGAGTTGAACAGAGATTGCTTATGTCTTGACTTGTGTTGGAGTAATGTTAGTAACTTTTTGTTTAATGCTGCAGTACGAACAAGGAAACAATATTAAAGGTAAGATGCTATAACAGACTTGCACATTATCTTTTTTCAAGTATGCTTTGGGTTTTTTGTTTTTGAAGAGTGGTTATAATTATTCTGTGAAGTAATAATCAAAGGTGAACCTAAACCTTTCTCTGTGAATTGGTTGATAAGGTGTATATGAAACTAATCTTTTTGAGATGTGTAATAACCAGTCATCTGCAATAGCTATGTGAACCTTAACGTAAGTTCTAGAGTACTCTGAGCATGTATTCCAGTAAATGTTAATGTTCTCCTTTTCGTAGGTGCAGTTTTCAGTTAGTCATGATATTGTACGATTTTTTCCAAAGACCTGGTTTTGCCCAACAGCTGTAACAGCCAATTTGAAGTCATTGCAGTTCATCATAGTAATGACTACTGAGGGACTCTTAAAGTCAGGGGTTATTCACATGCTCTATGCATGCATGAGATATTCCTGTATTGGAAGTCCTTGAGGGAAGAAAGAAGGAGGAAGCTGCATGGGTAGTCAGGATACACCAACAGCTGCCTGCTTCACTGCAACCACTTGAGTAGATCGTGGTTCCGTCTCACCGTCTAGTAAAAGGAAAAGTATCATCTTCTGCCCAGTTAGCTCATAGGGTTAATAATTTTTCTGTTCCTTCTAAATTAGGCTGTATTTGTAAGACTATTGAGAGGTGGGGTGGTGAGGAGCTGTAGTAGGAAAATTGAAACTCAACTAGGAAAACACCATTTGGGGCTGTCACTTTCTGGCACATAGCATCAGTGTCTGACAGAAGAGAAGCAATGGAATCAAGGTTTTGGTTTTGCTTGTTCTTTCTAAATCGGAATATTCTTCTGGAATAGCTGTGGATGCTCAGTTGTTTTTGAAGGAGGGAGTCTGTAGTGCTCTGATTTCTTGTGTATGTTTTTCTCCCGCCCCCCGCCTTAAGTGCACATTGAAGGAAATAACTTGCAGCATGAGATCGCTGAAGGTACACCCAGCCATCACAGGAAT